ACAAAGTGATAGAATTTGCTCCTAGTACCGTTAAAACTATACATATAGCCTGTTTCTACCAATTTGGAACGATTTGTAAGCTAAATTAAATCTCCGCTTACGCATCAATAGCACGAAATATATCGCGCAATAATTGTTCCAAATTGGGCATATTGGCAATCTTAAACCCTCACATTTTTTTGAAAAATGATCACAGGTAATTTTTTTTTCAAATTTGAGCTCAGGACAACATTGATTTATAAAATATATTGGGTAAAAATTTGTCTGAAGAAAAAACACCCAGCACAAATATTCCCCTACTTTCGTTACGAAAGTCGGGGAACCATAAGTGGGCATTGTCTACGCAAAAATGTTATCAACGCCAAGATAAATGCAAACACAAGTACTTCAGGATTTTCTTCACTATTTCCCACCCCAATTTTAAAAATGGGATTTTTTTTCAATGCTGTAAATTCGCAGGATCAAATAAACAATCTCTCCCTTGAATCAATTTACGCTGAAGATCTTTCACAGGGTTGAACGCTTTTTTGCTGCTAATGATATTGCCTATTTTGCATGTTGGCTTCACTGGCTAAATTTGCTATTTAAACTTGAACTTGCTATTCGTTCATTTGAATAATTTAAGGAGAATTGGTCCGCATGGGTCAATTCGCATGTGGTTAATCGCTGAATTAGTCATGCATAGAGGTCGATACTCCCTACTAGATACAATAGGGGGGATAATTAAAAAAACTAGGGTGTCATTAATATATATCATTTCACCTAGAGTCTGTTTCGCATCTCGTTTTTCGTTGTATTTTGTCGGAAAATACCCACCTGAGCTCAAAGTTTTTCCAGACTTCCGTATAGGTTGAAACAATGAGTTTAACTCTTGCGAGAAAATACTGTATCTTGAAACTTGAAACTAGTTTTAGAGAATACGGATCTTGCTCAATCTGATAAAAATGCTCAATGCTGGAGAAAATAATAACTTTGATTATGATAAATTTCGTGACTAGTTAAGCAGATACATTTTATTCAGTAACTATTAGTGTCCAAAGACTTATTCGAACAGATGCTTTTTTGCAAGTAGTGCATAATTTAATTATTGTGTACACTTTTTGTACTCAGGGAGGAACTGGCAACGCATTGAAGAACAAAGAAAAACTTTTTGCATTAAAACTTAAAACAATTCAATATTAAGAAAAAACATTCACTCTGAATAAGGCACGTAAAAAACAAACACTTTCCTACATTCAGTGGTCGGAACAAAAAAAACAGTATCTAGTGCGCAACGTAATTTGACAACGTTACTGACTGGAAAAAATGAAAAATGTGAAATTTAAAATGTGTATTTTGAGGCTAAAAAAACTGACATTCAACAATTACAACAATAGCACAAGGATAGCCGGTTGCAGTGCAACTAGCTCAGAATGGTCCGACCACATTCAAAAGAACATATAATTTTTTTTCTTTCTTCAATTGGGTTCGTTTTTTGTGCGTGGTGTGATAAAAACTATAAAAACGTGTAGAAAATTAATTAATTAGACAAATCGACTGCAGTTGTTTCCAAAGAATGAATAACACAAAAAATAAACAAAAACTATAATAAAAAATTAGTAGATTTTATGTTCTAGCACAAAATATATATATTTTTGCTCAGTAATTTTAAGCTAGTATATTAGGCATAATCAACAGCAGTTGCCCAAAAAATGGAAATAAAACTTTTATCTCTATAATTTTTATGCACAATTTCAAAAAAAGGTTGGAAAACTTTTTATGCCAAGAATGCTCTGAATCAAGTTTGTTTAGTTTTGCAAAACAGAATTTTTGATCAAAGTTACTCGATATAATAAACATTACTCTATTGTTTTAGTAGCCGCTCAAAATCAGACTAAAGATCAAAAAAAAATTAAACCTGTTTCTTTATCGACACAGGGAACTCATTTTGAAAATAGCTTATCGTCATTCGAATCAGAACTGAAAAAATTTTAAATAATATATCCCTCGACCCAATCCGAAGGTTGTTAGTGCTATCAAATAATGCGTGAAACTCAAAAAAAAAACAATCTACATCAATTCTGAATACAAAAGGCCTCCCCTTGACGAAGCAAAAACTCATTTATTCTTTCATTTTAACAACGAAAGTACACAGACAAAACATTCGTCAACAAATCCTTTTTTGTTCGACATAGTAAAAAACTATGCTGTTAGCATTTGAAAAGGCTTCAATACCATAACTGAGAAATAAAAATGTACAATACCAAGCAAGTCTTACTTAGTGTAACAAAAAATTGCCGCAAAAAATCAGTCACATTAAACCATAATTGCCTGGAATTTTTGAAAGTTTGAAGATAAAGTAGCATTGAATTTTGTTTTGAACATACATTGACTTATGAAAGAGAAAAAACATCAATGAAAAAAGCAATAAATAAATCTATTTGAATGGAATGAGTGTTTACAAGAAATAAAATTAAAACTGTTCGATGAGTGATCACAGCATTTTAAAGTTTTTACGAATGTTTTTCAAGCTATGTTTTCAAACAGATTCAGAATGTAACATCAAATTTTCTCTCAGCCTTCACTGGATTGACCAGAGTGAAACAGTAAAAAAAATTTCAAACTGAATTTATAATGGCTGATTTTATTATTGCAAAAACATAGCCTGCTAAGCATTGCAGCAAGTTTTACTGGGCGCCAAAATTAACCTCAAGGCTTAAAACCCTTGTAAAATGTACCTAAAAAAATTTATTGCAAAAATTGTTGAGGTGACAAGCAAAGGATAAAGTTGATGTTCTTAGAAGAATTAAATAAGAAATTTTAAGAAACGAAAACTTCTGAATTAGTCCCTTAAAATCACAGCTATTTGTTTTTCCCATTTTGGCCGTACAAAAATTATAAAATTATGGAAGTTCAAAAATTTCTTTAGATGTTGGAAACTTTTTCCAACTTTTTAATTTCATACTTTTCAGCTCACTTATTCTAGCTGAATTTAGTCTAGGTACAAAACTTAAAAACGAACTTGAAATAAAAGAATTGATACAACCAAAACTGACGATGGTGAAGAGCAAAAAGTATAAAGCACCACAAATTTAGCAGCAACACATATTACTAGTTTAAGTACTGTGTTTAATAATTTCGTTATAAAGTCATCAACTTCAAAAGAAAATAAAGAATAAAAGCGATCAGAATCCTTTGATTCTTAGCTCTAAGCGACAAAAGTAGTATTGTTTTATAATTTTTGATTAACTCAATAAAAAAATAACATTTTTCTAAAAATTCTGTAAAATTTATGAATAAAGTCCATTCGAGTTGCAAGTCGCAAACGTTAAAAGGCGTTGTAAATGAAACACTGCACCTGCGTTGTAAATGTTGCACTGAAATATTTAAGTTTCCCAAACTGGTTTTGTTTTTAATGAAATTAGATTTTTTCAGCCTAAATTGAAAATACGTATATTCAGCGAACGTTAATCGATTGCTTTACTAGCTCAAAATTGGACTAAAACTCCAAAACATTCAACCGGTTTTTCCCAACATTTGAAAAAATTTTGAAGTTTTTTTGAATATTGTTCGAATCACGACTGAGAGGGCTTTAAAAAGATATATTCTTCGACCCATTCCCATGATTATTTGTGGTACCTCATTTTGTGTGGAAAACAGAAAAAAATTTTGAAAAAGTTAAACAAACCCGAATACAAAGTTCTTCCAAATGGCCGGAACAACAAGGATAGCCAGTTTTAGTGCAAGTGCCACAGAATGTTCCGACCACAGTTTTAAAAATTCAAAAAAAAAATCGATAACTTAGACATATTCGACATCATAACAAAATAGACAAATTGCAAAACTGCTTTTGCAGAAAAGGGAATGTAAAAACGAAAAAAATTGTTAAACAAATCAAAACAAATTTTTCAAATTTTTTTTAAAAATTTTTTGGAGATAGTTTTTGAGTTTTGAAAATGGTTCTCAAAACTTTTTGGTTCCACAAAATTGCGCAAAAAATAAGTTTTTATAGCTTAAATTAAGCGTGAATAATTAAGCATAAAACCTATTTGAAGGTTATTTTTCTAATATCACGACTGAAAGCTTTTTTTCCTAATGTCGTTCATATCAAAAAATGATTCCGGTAATTGTTTGTGTTTGTGGTACCTCATTTTGCGCCAAAAAAGAAAAAAACTTAAGCACCCGAATACAAAGTTCCTCCCCATTTTTCAATTAGTTGGAACAATAAAACGAGCAGTCACTTCACTACATTGAGTCTCGTCATTGGTACATTTCTGAATTTAATTTATCCAAATACTGGCCTTTTCTTCATTTTTTGCTTTTTTCTTCGTACATGACATCCATAAAAAAGATTCCAATTGCATTTTTGATTGTTGTTTCATTCGCACTTTTTGGTTTTTTCCAGCTTGATATAAGACTCGGGATATAAGACCTGCCTTTCTAAGTAAAATCAGTCCAATTTTGTAACAAAACTTTTCATGAAAATTTTTCATCATTTAGGTGAGGAGTTAACCAAAAACACCCTATTTTAGCGCTGGATTAGTCCTGCAATAAAGTTTCAGACTTCAGCAGTGCATTCAGAGTTACTGAGAACTTTAAAGAGAATTTCTTGCCTAGGATGGATCAAATGGTTGCCATCGTTAACCGAAACGATTTGTTCTTGACCCATTGAAAAAAGGCAAATATGCAATTAGTTTTTACCATTTCACTTTATCTTTTTTTATCATTTCTTCAGTTAGCAATTAACTAACGCCTATTAACATGCTAAAAACCTATACAACGTGGTAACATGTAACTTTTAACGGAATTTCACTCCATAAAAACTTAAATAGGAAAAGTAAATACCAAATAGCTTCAAAAAACATTTCAGCAAATCAAAACTTTAAATACTTTCAGTTTTTTCCCTGGATCGAGTACACAAAATAAAACTTATTAACTCCGAACAAATTTTTCGAAAAAATTATAGGTGGCTCGATTGGTAAATTATTATGAGAAAAAAATAGACAAGCTGAGCGTTTTTTCTAAAACTGTTTTTTATTATACTGACCTTGTTCGACTCCGAAGCCCTTGTTCTGCAGTTTAAGCAGACTGGGCACGACCACAGCTGGACTGACAGCTGCCAGAATGAATCCGAGCATGAAAGCCCAGTTGAAAGGCATGCCGAACAACATATAGGCCAGTAGGGCAATCATAGGACCCTCGGCAAGCACACCTGGACATAGTGCCAGTCTGATCACGACACTCTTCATCAACATAAGTCCCTTCGGATTCAGACTGAGGCCGGCTCGGATTAGAATAGTGATAAACGAGAAATCCCGAAGGGCTACTCGGTAATCGCGATCTATGTCGTCGGCAAGTGGCGTGGAAGCGAAGGGTAAAGTGACATTATTCAGAAGAATCCCAGCGAGTAGCATACCCAGTAATGGGGGAAGGCCAAGAAGACCCATAAAAAACCCTGTAATCCTACTGGCGACGTAAAGAAGGAATATTGAAAACATGTTTCCCCCGAAGTAGGCTTGCTCTTTGCCGACGATGCCCCAAAGCGCCGCCCACGCAATACAGAGACCGAGAATCCGAGTAAGCACCCAGCCGAAATGACTGTGAGGGGGACATAAAAAGTACCAGCGGACCTGCTGCAGCCTCGTGGGCTCTTCCGCCAGGGCGTTTTCTGATAGGAGGCAAAACTGAACAGGTTTTGTGCGGTAAACAATGTTGCATAGTTGCGTAACTGCCTTCGGGCAAAGGTCGGATGGGTTTGTGACGGCGGTTTGGTCCGAGTGTGTGGTCGCGGCGCCTAGCGAAGCGCGGTCAGTGCTGCGGGTGTTTCCAGCTTTGGCGTGGTGATGGTGTCGCGAGGGCGATTGAGTCCGTTGCGAGTCACCCGAGGAACTTTTGGTACATGGGGTATGCTGAGATTTTCCCTGATGATTCATTTCAATCGATTTTTAAGCTATTTTTCCCAGAAAATTCAGGTAATTTTAAGTAATTCGTTACTTGTTTTTCCTGCACTCAGTAAGTTATTCGGCCTAATAAACCACGTTTAGATAGTAATTCTAATTTGAAACCTCAAATTTTTGAGGGCAATCGAGTGGGGGTGAATATGGTTATAACTAATTAATGACAAGATATGCCTTTTGGTGGTGTTATACTAGTACCTGTAGTAACTTGAGGTTTTAATTTATCCATTTGTTGTAAAATAAACTAGGGATTGATTTGGTAGAATCGCTAATGGCGGTAATGGAGCACAGCATTAGAACTACAACATAGCTGCGTATAGCTTCAAGTTGGGTTGCGCCTTGGTTGTAGCTTGTTCATTCGAATTACCCAGTTGTCCCGGGGCTACTGAAATCCTGCTGTAAAACTTTTCCTGGTTAGTTAAGTCCGCAACTAGAATCTAAATCCTGAAACGTCAGAACTCGCAATTTACAATTTCACTGTTAAATCCTAACACGCTTGCGTTGGTCTATAGAGGAATACGCAGCCCCCTTTTTTTCTGCAGTGCTCTTGTTTTGGGAATTGTTTAGCGGCGGCTCAATTATTCTCAGGGATTTGTATCCTTACATTAATATCGGATAGCAGTTCAGTGCTATACTTGTATTGCGGTGTGGTTTGGGATTGGGGTGAGATTAGCCGCGAATGCCCGTCCGTGACAGTTAGTCGGTATAAATTGTGCGGCAAGTCTTTTCCAAAATGGTATTAGTATATAATGTAATACTCTCAATATACGCTCAAGAAAGGTAACAGTTTTACAAAGACACTAGCATACCAATAAGCATACGACAGCTGAAAAAAAAACACAAGAGAATAGTTTAGTCACGACAGTAATTCCACATATTCACATATTAATGTGTATGTAAAGTAGGCTAATGTACTGCTGTATGAGTATTGAGTGTGTATGTCTGTGTGTATGGCAGCGGAATAACTTGATTCGAATCTTAGCCCAAATTGGCATGGACTTTGGGCAACTACAAGCGTATAGGCATGGAAGCAAAGAAGTAGGTTTATGAAGTGCTATTCCGTACAGAAGAGGGTATAAAGCAGGTAGAGCATATACGAGACAAGTAAATTCCGTATGTCTAAATGACCGATCTTTTCCCCTTCACATTGGGCTAAATCAGATTTGGTGGGGAATAGCCTGCCCTTTTGAAAGCTACAACTGCACACAATAAAGTAGGCTGGCTTTTATTGGGTAGGGTACGTCTATATGTAGGCACACAAGTAGTATATTATTGGGCAAAGGTGGTATAGTAGTATAAAGTATAGTGGCACTACAAATCAAGGCAGCCAAAAGGGTAGTGAGAAAATTATATTCTCTATGAAAAAGAAGAAGATTGGTTGCTTGGTCTCTTTGATAAAACGGGCAGCGGGCGCGGGATTCGAATCGGATTGAAATCTGAAGTACTGGCGGTTGAAAATTCCGTTGTTATCAACGCTACTTCTTTAAATTCTTTCAATGTCGTTTTTTGTCTCAAAGAGGCAGCTAGCTGAGCTAAAAAGAGGAAGCCTTTATTCAGTAAACTGTCAACTCTATATCAGCTGAATTATTCTGTCGTCTTTTTCAGGCGCGGCGGATTTTTAGCAGACGTTTTAAAAATAAGATAAGGACGTTTAAACATAAAAAAACTTGGCCAATGGTTAAATATAATACGAAATCAGGGGAAACGTGAAAGGAGTGATTGATTTAAAAAGACGGCATAAAAAAATTGAAAATTGATATAGGAGAAATTCTTCGTTTTTGAACTTCCTTTTATTAAATTTCAGCTCTTTTTTCAATTTTCCTTTAACAAGTTTTCTTACACGCCCTCAACAATTCCAATTTGGTAATATGGTCTCAATTTGGCCAGAAATAGCACTTTTATTCAATTTTCTCTGTTTTTATTGACTCCTAATTTTAGTAATAGTTTTTATCCAAGGTCATTAAATAAATATTAGTTTTGCGCCCGGGTAATTGAAATATGACTCAAAATAATGGCAATGAAATGCGGTGTTATTTACTATTTTTTCAAGTATTCTTGAGGTTTGTCAACTTTTGTTTTAAAACAATAGCGAAAAGTAAGGTAATTGGGAGATCAAATCGTGGAAAATAGTAACAAAAAAATAGAAGGAAACGAAGCGTCCAGTAATCCAGAAATGGTAAGAGTTGTCTTCTTATTACAATGATGATAAGAGATGGCGAGAGAAACAGTATAAATTTATTCTAAGTGGCGGCCAAGCGTAGAATATGGAGGCAATAAAAGAGAAAAAAGTCGGAACAAAAAAGCAGCGATTCAATTCCCAAAACGAATCAAGTTTGAAGTTCAACACAGAAGAAGTAAAATAAGAAAAGACGCATGAAGAAAATGATGTCACAAGTGTCTGAATTGGCGAGGAGGCTAAAACAAGCGTCCAGTCTCTACAGTGTTCTGTGAATATCCCCCCTCTGAATTCGACCCCCCCTGTGATGATGCGAATTCGGTTTCCTAAATAGGAAGCAACCAGGAAATAATGAATTAGTCAAGCGCTCTCCTGTCTGGTCCAACACTCTTACATTAAACACGGAACCACCAAAACAATAACTAAAATCACGTTCGACTATAGAAAAAAAAATTTTAGCCAAGTTTGATTATATAAAAAAATTAGGCGAATTTCACAATTAAAAAGATAATAGTCAAATTCAGCAATAAAAAGATCTAGTCAAACAGGTCAAAAACAAAACGTATACAAATCACAAATCAGAAATCTGAGATAAAATTCAATCTGATTTTGCGGAAGCTTAACTTGAAATTACAAATGTTTTTTGAATGAATATGAATACGTAATTTTGAACTCAATTCCGGAAGTTTCCCAAAATGTCAACTATTGAACTTTGTAGCTAAAATATGCACCGATTCAGGTAAACATTAATTAGTAACGGTGTTCTGTGACGTATGCAGATTTGATTCAAAAAATTTACAATTGTAAGTCGACTTAGGATGGTAAGCTGCTAAATAAAGAGGCGAGCAAAAATACAAGAGGAATTTAAAAAAAGAAACGGTTTTCTAATTGGATACGGTTGAAAAAGTTACTCTTCTAAAATGGTTGAAACGCGCCATAAAAAAGCGGATAAAAAAGCGAGCAGATATTTCAGTGAACGAGTGCGCAATTATAGAAGCTTTAAGTCGACTTGAGACGAATTTTAAAAAGCGGTTTTGTTTGTAGCCTGAAGCTTTTTGCTGATAAAATGGCGCCGCAGCTAATTGAAAGAAAAAACGTTCGCTGTGAAAATCTGAACACCAAATGTAACAAAATAGCAGCAAAAATATAATCAATATTCGGTTCTGAATTTAATTTTTTTTCTCCTTTTTTCTCAATTGGAAAATTCTCTTCTTTTTTTGCGATAAAAACGAGGCTTGTAGTTTGTTTTTAAAAAGATTAGAAATACCACACGTTTGAATTGCTCAGACAATCTTATATCAGCAAAATTTCTTTCATTTGCTTAAAATTCAAACAAAATACCATTTTAAATTTACACTTACCAACCAAATTGAAAATTATTTTTCAATCAAAAAGAAAAACGTGGCTCTCAATAAATGATTGATACGAACCGAGAAAAATGCTCGTTTTGCTTTGTTTTGACAACTGACTTTAAACGATTGATGTATGCGTAATCAGAACAACTTCCTAGCTTAAAAAGAAGTGGTTGAAAATTTGCTTAAAATTCGATTAAAAAGGAAGAAATGCAAATAAGTTTTTTTTGTCACTCAAACTAGAATTCTAATTTATAAACTAACAGAAAAAATAAAGCACTTATTATTCATGTGGGCAGTTAATTTCATTTTTCAAATGTAATTTAAATAACAGGTATATGACAGGTGTAAATCCAGGACTTTCTCGAAGGGAGGGGGTTCTGTCAACCTTTTTTTGGTTGGCCAATTTGTTGTTCCGAGCACTCTCGAAACTTTGAAACTTCATAAAGACTTTGTTTCGCCAAAACTTTCTGTTTTGGGTCTTTTTTAAATTGTTTTGTACTAAAATTTGCGCTTCCCGTTAGTGAATATGGCGCCAAATTTGAAAGTTTTTGAGTTAATAATAAAAAATGGATGTTGTAAAATATTACCAATAGGGGACCCTTTGGGTCACCAAGGTTTGCATGCGCAAGTAAAAAAAGCTTCCTCTCCCTCTACCTCTCCAAAACAAACGCGAATTTTATCTGCTGGTGTAGTTATAACAATTCATTGGAAATTATATCAGGTCTTAATGCAGTTACAAAAAGCTCCAGTATCATTCCAAATCAGTTTCACTTGAATTAATTGATCATCAATCTATCATTTTTAAGGTGTTCTTAAATGAAATTTTGCCCTCCGAAAATGCTACAAATTGTCTCTTGACTCATTATGGCAACAAATACCTTGCAAAAGTTCAATATCAGAGCAAATGCTTTGGGAGAATTCATCATTCTTTTGTCCGACTTAAGAAAAACGTGCGCAAGTTATCGCTGACTGTAATTCATGCTCAATTTAAATAGTTTTATCTAGCATAAAACTTCCGAAAATGATAATAGTATGAAACGCACTAACCTTGCAATTCAAAATGAATCTCTTTATTAGTATGCATTAACAAATGGACCGAGTTAACATCCTCCCCCGCAAACCAAGGGGGAGGGGGAGGATGTTAACTTGGTTCTAAGTGAGAATTTTCAGCCAATCAGAATTGAGCATTTTACGCAGCTTAGCAAACTTACTCTGAATTAAATGCTGATGTGGAAAATATTATCTTGGTCTCAAAATGACGGAGAAGGGGGGGGGGGAGGGGGGGGGGTGATGTAAACGTTAAATTGATCCACCGAAATTTCAAAAAAATTTTGTCCGGGCTACAATTTTATAAATTAATTCATTTTTTTTTCTTTGATATATAAAATTTTACTTTTATTTTACTTTTTAGACTATATAACAATTTTTGAAACAAGAAAAATTTTCTAGCTATATATTTTTTCAAGTTTGTGTAATTATTAATTTAGCTTCAAATTTTGAGCAGAAATTTACGCTCTAGAAAAACCTCAGTGACACACCCGCACCGAGCACCCATGGATAAAAACCGATTTTTATTTTAAAACAGTTCTGTGTAAGATTCCAAAAAAGTATAATCCCTTATAAATGGATTATAAAACATTATAAATGAATTATAATTTTATCCCTTTCTCTTTTGTGACTATAACAATTTTAATGAATTATAATCATTGAATTGGATTTTTTGGAAAATCATTCTTAAAACCTGCCTGTTTGTTTTAAACTATTTTCATTTGCTGTTGAAATGAGTTGCTTTCGATTACGTTTTTATACTTTCTACATTTGATTTTCTTGTTAATATTTTTCATTTTTTATCCACGGCGATTTGAAAAAATTTGATCGATGCAGACTTTCAAAAAAGCAGAAAAATTTTGTAGAAAAAATTTTACAAAAGTTACTGTTGTTTTTGAAAAGTTGTTTAAATCTCCATGATAAAAAATGAAAATTATTAACAAAAAAACCAATTGAAAAAAAATTTTCAGCTTCTCGCTTTTTGCAAGGTTTAGTTAACCTCTTCTTTCTCAAAAATGTGTACTTTTTGGGCGCCAAATGTGTATTCAGAAAACTAAATCAGAATTGGTCAACTTAAAATATCCGTAATCCGCTAGCGTCCACCCCAAAATCCGTTTCTTAAGTAGAAAAATTGTATATAGTTCATTTTGGTTAATTAGAGACATATCACAGAAATTCTTGCATAAATTTTTGGAAAATACTTGCAAAGTAACAAAACGTTTTGAGGCTTAAAAAGATAATATCATGAATTATATTGAATTTTAAAAGAGAGTTGGCTGTTTTCCAAAAACTTTGTATATAATGGATTCTCTTGGCAAAAAAAAAATCAATTTCAGTGCCAAAATTAAAGAATTACATTCAATTGTATCACAATATTTTGATTTTTTGATTTTTTTGTCTGAAAACTTAGATAACATTGACTGTATAATCGTTTTCTTTGTCTTATATTTCCATCTGTAATCTTTTATAGTGGTTTTTATTTCATCGGAAATCTAATATAAATGATTATTTTTTAAAATATGAGATGATTTTTAAAATGCACCTGTATATTTAAGAAACATTCTTTCCGAAAATCCATAAAATTTTATCCTAATTGGACATTATAATCGCTTATTGAAATCGTTCAATGATATAAATTGGCAAAAAATTATCTTTCAATCCAATTTTAATCTTCTTGCCATTGTCTTAAGAATTTTTTAAAACTTGAGATAACTATTAAGATAAGCAAATTTGAAAATAATTTGTGAGAAAATATTACAGAAACGAAAAAAAAATCACAAAGAAAAATTTTTCAATTTGATTCTCAGTTTTTTGAAATTTTGAAGTTTTTGATTCCAAAAAAACGCTAAAATACTCAAAAAACCTTTTTTTAATTGGGCATAACTACGTTTCTACCTTTTAATTTTGTGTGGAAAAACAAAGAAAAAAGAAAAAAACATGAATACAAAGTTCTTCCCCATTTTTTCAAATGGTTGGAACAAAAATATTTTTGGCAAAATTTATAAACCTTGCTGAAAATTGGCAATACGCTTACATTAACGTCCAACTAAAATAGCTATTTTTGGAAAATAAAAACTTTTAGAGAGTGAAACATTTTAGAGAGACATAATGAAAGCGCAACGTTGCCATCAATATTTTTGCGGATTCCTTTGATTCGTCATTCAAAACAAAACCGAGGTACTTAATTTCAGATGCTACAGTCTTGAATCAAATTATCAAAACAAAATGAACAAAGCTTAAAAACTCCTAAGCATTTTTTTAATAAATTGGGTTAAGATTAGATAAAAGGAGAAAAGTTACCAGAATTATTACAAAGCATTAAATTTTGCACGAATCGAAACCAAAAATTTATCCAAAAAATATGCCATTTTGGCTTTTTTAATTTAATTAAGAATTATGCTGAAAGTGCCAAACTAGCTGATGAGAAAGTTAAATCATAAGTAGCTTCTCGCACAAACCAACAAATTATAGTAAAAAAAATTTGAAAGCCTTAACTTTCTATATTTTTGAGACTTCCTTGGATATAACTTTCTCATCATTTTTTTAATTGTTTCAGATTTTTTTTTAATTATTAAAAGACAAATAGGCCTATTTTTGGGTAAAAATTTGGGTAAGAATTTCGGGGAAAATGTTCTTTTTTTTCTGGTGAAGTTCTAAGCAACTTATGTTCTGCTCACTTTTTGTCTTGTCCTATTAAACTTTGAGAGCAACGCGTTCGATGTTTTAGTTTTTATTCGTTTTGTACGGATAATTTAAATCAGCACTGTTCAATCGGCGCAGTAATTTGACAAGTATATTAAAGTTGTTACGAATTGTAATTTTTCCTATGTAAGGCTGTTTTGGATGATTTTCTAAATCTCATGCAAAAAAAACTATTCCATACAGATTGGAAAAGCGATCAAACAAATCAAAGGTTTTAGAAC